TATACCGACAAAAAACGACCCCCTTCTGTGGCTCAGTAATCAAGATACTCCACATATTTAATTATTATTATTATTATAATCAAAAGAAGCGCTAAGCCACAAGGGCTATACAGCACACATTTAATAATGAGGATAACATCACAATATTTCTCAGGACCACACTGACTGTCCAATAATAACTTACTGCCTATGCCGGATACTTTACATATCTCTCTTATAATATACCTTTAAACTATAAAGTAGATTTAGTTATTATTATTACTATTATAACTTATTATAAGGGGGAAAACTGCTAAGCCTGTCGCGTTCATACAAAGTCTTTGGAAATAATGATAGACAAATAATTTCGATTCAAAGAAGTGGAAAATAGGTTCATTTCCTTAGATGAAAAGCTTCTTTTCCTTGAGGTGAAAAGTATAATGTAAGGATGGAAATGTGTACAAAACTGACATGACTTGAGCCATAGTGGTCTTGATGCTGCTGGATGTTGTCAAGATGCAAAAAACTGCTGTCACACGTCTGTAGAGTTTACAAGGAGAGGTGGATGGTTGGTGTAAGTACCATTAATACGCCCTCGTTCTCCTCGGGGTACCCACCTGGTATCTTCAGTCATCGACCAACCATACTCGACACCTACAGCCCATACCAGCCGTCAGTGGGGGTGCGTACCAGTGATTCACTTGTTCTGCGTTGAATTGGGCCCCTCCTCTCCATCCCAGTATATATATATATATATATATATATATATAATATATATTATATATATATATATATATATATATATATATATATATATATATATATATATATATATTTTTTGTAAATAATGTTACTAACAATAAGAATAAATATATTAATTTTAATATATTACTTTGAATGGTCATATAAAAACAATCATAAAGTTATAAATTGAATAACATAACCATCTGACTGTCAGATTACTTTGGTAAATCAATGGTACGTAACAGCTGACTACTAATGAGGATATTTAAATTAGCTAACATTACATGAAGCATTTCTGTACTCAACTTGTTACACTGATTTGCTAATCTAACTGCACATTTGGTGATCTGCGCATCGTTCGGTCAGTCACCCTTGTCTGGTCACCCAGTGGGTGATTGATCACCCCTGTCTGGGGAGAACTTCAATATGGGAGGAGATTCTTGCCTCCGACATACATCTGCTTTTTTTTTATGGTATTGAACCGTAAACGATCGCAAATCTCTGTTTTTATTCTGTGCGGTAAACATTGGTCAGACCTGTTAACGTATTTATCCTGTTAGTATTAATGTTATAGGAGCCCAGTCATTAATCCACTGGAGTCAAAATGTGCGTCTATATGTGAAAGTTGCTTGGGGGGGGGCCACTACTGTGTGTTCTTGCTCCAAGTATGTTGTGACCATTCGTGAATAGTAGTTAAAGAATTTAAAAATAATTAAGCCATTCTCAACTTGTGGTCGTAGGGGGAACGACTTTCTAAGCTTCATTTAAGTGGATAGATATCCATTTACTCTAAAGTCTATTCACATGGCCCCCAGAATGTAGTAATTTTTAGGGGTGACCCCTTGTTATGGTGAGCTTTTTAAAAACTAACTCCATTTTTCTGGGAAGGTGAGTTTCTTACGGTTGCCTTCATTTCATGCTGATTTTTTCCTTTTGTTTACTTAGAACGAGCAGTGGTCAGCACTTACATAGAAGTTATTACCTTATTATATTTTTGTGGTCATCTCAGTGAGTTTCACCACCACACACGCTTCATAACAGCCTTCAGTGAACTGGCTAGTAAGTTATCTCCTGATCAAGTGGAATAGGCGAGATAAGTTTGAGGTAGTTATTCCCTCAGACTTGATAAGGAAATCCTGGAGAATACATGGAGAGGGTTTCGGGGGTCAACGCCCCCGCGGTTCGGTCAGTGACTTAACTTTAAATGAAAATGGTCAACTATCTTAAACAAAAAAATAAGATTCTACATAATACTGACTGTATTCTGTTATCATGGGTGAAGCTCTACAAAATTTACTGCATAAAACTATTGCAAAAGTTTAAAATTATGCGTGAATATTATATTATAATCAAAAAGAAGCGCTAAGCCACAAGGACTATACAGCGCTGCAGGGCAGGAAGGAAGCGAGGGCATCAGGTGGCAAAAGGGAGATGGATGAGCAACAGGTTACGGATAACAGCGGGGCAGTGGATGGTGAAAGGGTAAAGGGCAGCAAGAGACTGAACCAGAAAGGGCTGAGGGGAGTGCAAAAAGTATCATCAGAGTTTGTGGAGTAAATCAGTCGTTGTCAGAAGTCAATGAGAGAGTCAGGATTAAAGGAGGGCCATCAGCAAGAAGGGAAGGTAAAGAGAGAGTAGGAAACGAAGACGACGTTGGAGGTAAATTCTGCGTGCCCCGCTGATAGAGAGGGCAGTCTAACAGAATGGGCAATCGATACTGGAACTTGACCTGCTCACAGAGAGGAACAGGGTGCCTCTCCATGAGATACCATGAGTAAGACGAGTGTGGCCAATGCGAAGGCGGGAGAGAGTGGTCTCCCAACTTTGGCACTGATGACAAGAAGACGGCCAGTAACCTATGCTCGGTTTAATAGAATGAAGTTTGTTACCGAGCAGAGTTGACCAACGTTGTTGCCAACGGGTGCGAAGGTGGGTAGCTATTGCAGCAAAATAGTCCAGAAATGGAACACCTCGATAGGAAATTTGGGAGGTCATATACTGCTGACCGCGCAAACAGTGTCTGCCTGTTCATTGCCCTGTACGTCGACATGACCAGGGACCCAACAAAAAACAATACTTTATGTTTGGTAGAGATACGGCGTAGCCAAAGTTGGATACGGAGAACTAGGGGATGAGATGTATCAAATTTTCGTATAGCCTGTAAGCACTAAGGGAGTCTGAGACTACTACAAATGATGACACAGGCATAGATGCAATACGAATAAGTGCTGCAAGAATGGCATACAGTTCAGCAGTTTAAAAAAAAGCTAGCTGAAGATAGTAAATGCCCTCGTACGACGCTGTCCGGAAACACTGCTGCGAATCCGACGCCGTCTGAAGACTTAGAGCCATCTGTGGGACACAGCGGTGGCATGAGAATGGGAGTGGAAGTGATCAAGAAAAAGAGAGCGGGAAGCCACCGTAGGCAGTTGAGCTTTTTGAGCAAGGGAGTGAGAAAGAACAGACCCGAACAGCTGGAACTTCCCAGGGGGGCAGGGAAAAGTGAGATGCTACATGAACATATAAAGGTGGTAACTGAAGGGAAGACAATAGTGAATGTAGGCGAAGAGAAAAGGGACGGAGCAAACAGGGCGGCGAACGAATAAAGAATGTCTACTAATATCGGTGACCATTCTATAAATGGAAGGATTTGTGTAGATCGTGAGAGCGTACATAGTAACGAAGGCAATGGGGCATCACGGCGAACAGACAAGGTGGACATTTGCTTCTGTATAGAGGCTCTCAACAGGGGAAGAGCGAAAAGCACCAAGGGACAAACGTAAGCCTTGGTTGATGATAGAGTTAAGGCTTTGAGAGAGTAGCAGGAGAGGCCGCGGAATAAATCTGGTCACCATAATCGAGTTTCGATAAAACGAGGGCGAATGTAGGCGAAGCAGAGTTCGACGATCAGCTCCCAGGAAAGATGAGGGAAGGGTTTTAAGAAGGTTTAGCCGCTGTGACAAGTTGCCTTCAGAGAGGTAATGTGAGGTTTCCAGGTTAACCGACGGTCAAAGAGAAGGGCCTGAAACCTGACTGTATCACGTTCGGGATACGGGAGCCATAGAGATACAAAGGATGATCGGAGATAACAGAGCGTCTAGTGAAAGTAATTTGGTGATTTTTGGGACTTGAAAATTTAAACCCATGTGTGGTGGCCCAAGTGGAAACACGGTCGAAACCCCATGCTGAGAGAAACTGCAATAAGGTGAAAAGTCAGCCCCCTGCACAAGCAATAGCGAAGTCATCAACATAGAGTGATGACCAAATATTGGGTGGAAGAACAGAGGCCAAATCATTTATAGCAAGGAGAAAAAGTGTTGTGCTTAGAACACATCCCTGAGGGACACCTTCAGCTTGGACGAAGTCCGGGGAAAGAACATTATTGACTCGAACACGGAAATGTCTGTCAGTTAAAAAGTTCTTAAGGAAGGATGGTAGATTGCCTCGGAGGCCTAAGGAATGGGCCTGGGCCAAAATATTATACCTCCAAGTTGTGTCATGTGAAGAGTAAATATAAACTTACAGAAATCTGAATCTTACATTATAACGATTTTTTTCTATTGTTACCCATTATTATAACATTCATATGAGAGAGCTAAAGTCGTATAGCGAATGGGAAACAATGAGATTCGATCCAAGGTATGGGAAGGTGCCTTGGTTCAGTCCCTTGCATGGGTAGAAACGTTTGGTATATTTCCTTACATATGTTGCTTTTGTTCACCTAACAGTAAGTAGGTACCTGGGTGTTAGTCTCGTGTGGGTGGCGTCATGGGGGAAAAGACTGAAGAACCACAATGCAAATAAAACAGTCCTCGATGACTTATTGACTTGATTGGGTTATCGTAGGATAACCCAGATGGAAATAAGGCACTCTGACTTTTCTGGGTTATCCTATGTTCTCTACACATATGCTATGTATGATAATTATGTAACTATTTGTGTATACCTGAATAAACTTATCGTTGAAAGATAATGTTTCCCATGAAATACCTTCCGTGACCATTTTCTTTTTTCACAGAAAACGAACTAATCAGCCATTTCCTCATAAACTATTATTTTTTTCCAACTTTCAGAGGTCAGGATGAGAGCCAGGTATACGGTGGACGAGGCCGCCCACCCACTGGTTACTACGACTACAATCAGAGATCTGCCTGGGCGGGACCCAGGTATAACGGTCAGTTTGCTCACAGTTTTTTACTTATGTTATTTAACTTTATATGGAGAATATATCATTTTTGTTTGTAAGTTTACTTAAGTGCAAATTACACAGATTTTTCAGTGATTATAAGTACATACAAACAGGTGCAGATTAACTTAAATAACCCAAAATAATTACTTATTATTATTGGGGTCTTTGTAATGACTTTAGCAGCCAATGTGGAAATTAAATCACTTACATGTACCTCAACATTACATGCATAGAAGTAATCCATGGGGGGTGAAACCATATATTGTTTACGTAGTTACCCCGTTAGAAGTGCGAGAAAACTTAAGCCCCCCTGGTCACTGCAGGGGCCCTTCACCCACAAATCTTATCCACACTAACCTAGACGTACGGGGGGACTAAGGTTTTGGGGAACACCAATGGGCAAGGTTTCAAAAAATGTGGACTGTTGTATAAATGGACCAAATTTGAAAAGGGGGGAGGGGGTTTTTCGTGAACATAAGGTACCACTTTCCAATTTTCCGGAGGTCACTTATGTAGCTGATCACCCACCCATCATATTATAACATACCTAACTGGTCATAACAGTTTTCTATAACTGAAAGGTTATTTAAATGTGAGTGGTTGATGCCCTTTTTTCCCCCATCCACCATTTCGATTCCTGCACCCAAAAACGGGTTTTTATTTCAGCAGACGAGGGATCTTTTAGTTTGTCCGGTTTAGGGGCCGTACTTCATAAAACCTCCACGATCCCTGGGACCGGAATCACGAAGTTAACATGTGCTCACTCACTCAGGGAATGGCGGCTCATATCACTTCAACCATTCCTTAACTTAGTGTTGTTATCACTGATTTCACTACAATTCACAAGACGACTTAACGTCTCGTGAATTTTACACACATTAGAGGTCGCTCCATTAAGATCTGAGCTCGATGAGCGTCGATTAAATAGTCTGGTAATCTTCCCCCCGAACACTTGTCATGGCGTGCCCCGTCGGACCCGCTTGGCATCCCTCACTATTTACTAATTTTACCACATGGTTATAGTGGTCCTGCAAATTATGTTCCTTCACTCTTCACTAGGAACAGTTATGACACTTCCTATTATGAAGTGGGACCACTAATCACGTTTCGACCGTCAGAACCACCAATTTCCTGGTTCCATGTTAACTAGCACACTCTCCCAGGCCTATACCCCCAACGAGACTCCCAATGCCCCATCTCGGCCTCCTCTCTGCCCATTGGCACAGGCGCAGAGGTTCCCTGTTGGTTCTCTTCCATTTTCAAATACATTTTTGACCAACATCAACACATTAAACACCTATTAGGCTCTATAACTTTGGAAAATTAAATATTTTCCACAGCCAATAAGAGAATAAAAATCAGTCATGATTATTAATAAAACTAATTAGAGTAAAACAAATTCATATATAATTTCAAAAAAGGAATAAAATAAAAATAACATTATTTTTACTATTACTACTACTGTACTCCCTTCTTTCTTACCTCCTCCTCATTACATCATGCCCTCTGGTCTTTCGTGTTTTTTCATGGCTCAGTTGTAACCTGACATTAGTCCAGGATGGATCGAAACATTATCATAAATTTCCTTGCCTAGGTGCAGGTTGTTAATTTTAATTTTAATTACGTATTATTAATATCGCATATTTTTGCCAAATCCACATAAAGGCTTTATTAGCCTCACTAATGAAGAGATGTTTCAATTTCATAACTTTCACTAAAGCTTCTTTTCCCTATGGCCTCTTTTGCCATAGCCTCTTGTTTCACTATACATGTTTATTCGAAATCATGTGCACCTCTCCAAGCATCTACTCAGCACTGAGAGCCCCTTCTTATAGTCTTGTAAAATGGAGTTACACAAGCTCCTCAAATTTAAGAGTATATTGTCACGGGTACTAAGCACTTATGATGGGAAGTTTAACCTGTTGGGTCTGGCCCTGGCTCATACTTCAATTTATTTGTCTCCCCCCTCTATTCTTCTCCTATTCCTACTTTACCATCACGATCATTACCTGTGACTTAGTCTAGAGTATATTGTTCTGTGTGTACATCATTATTTCATACATTATTTGTAGGTTATTTTTTTCACCTCTGTACAAAAGGAAATGTAGTTAATTAACCAAAACGTCAAGGAGAAGAGCATCGACACAGGTTTGAGAACCATGGTTCGAGAGGTTTAAATTTTATACTTTGTTGGTGTGCCTCATAATCATAAATTTCCAAAGAAACTTCTAAAGGGTGAAACTATCTGCACTGTTGACTTAGTCAAAATACTTATTGCAAAGAACAGAAAGACTGATGCAGTGACTTATGTGAACCTTGATCGTGTGTGTTCAGTAATGGTTTATGTGGCCAAATCGCCTGTGTTCAGTAAATCCATAGGAATTATACGTAGCGTTGAGAATGGGGAAGAACCAAGCTCGATCCTAGGAAGCGAAGAATAGCTTTGATTCCTTGTCTCAAGAGCCTATCGTAAAGACACCCCATGGAACGAGACCTTGTTGTCAAGACCGTGTAATCATGGTGTGTTCATTGTAATGTACTGTAACAAAGATGTAATAAAATATGTAGTACATTAGTGTGATCACAGTAGCGAGGAAAGTTTTCACAATGTGATGCTGTAGCCACTGCCTGTGAAGGTTGCTAGCTGCAAATCTCTGTACCTGTAGATGACGAAATGCCTCGGTCAAAGCTGTTTGATTCATGACAGTAGGACCTAAATTTATTTTCTGGTAGGGTAAAGTGAGGCCCCATCATTTTCCGTACATGAGTGAAGTACTATTATGTCATCATTTGTTAAAGCTCTGGTCTCTGTAATTTCTGTAGTGATGCCACAAAAAATATCTTACTTTCTAGGTGGACAACTTAGACATTTATGATAAAAATTATGCACAAAAAAGATAACTTTGATGATAGTAAGAGAGGGAGAGAGAGAGAGATGAGTTATGCACTGGTATGTTTTTTCAGGTGATGCAGGCAGTCGTGTTGACCACTACATGGGTTCTGATATTCACCGAGGTTTCCACTATCCTGACTACGGCCAGCCACAACCCCAACAGCAGCAGCAACAGCAACAGCAGCAGCAGCAGCAGCAGCAGCAGCAGCAGCTGCTACTACCACCTATGCAGCAGCCACAGATGAACAGCAATGTACAGTACCCAGTCTTCATTTTTATAGTCATGGGAAAGTACTAAACTTATAGTACTTTATATAGCACCTGGAGAATGGGAAGGGATCTAGTTAAAGCCTAATGAGGGGAAACTTCAATTCCTCAGAACAAGAGCCCTTCAGCATCAAGTAACCCCTCTTAAAGGGATTGGCCATATGTTTTGTGGAGAAAATAAGCATGTGTGTGTTAGGAGTGGAGGCAAGCAGTTTTTATGATTTGACATGCTGTTGAAGTGTGAGCAAGGTAACATTTATACTCACACTTAGGTCACACTACACATACATGTACAAGCATATATATATATACACCCCTCTGGGTTTTCCCCTATTTTCTTTCTAGTTCTTGTTCTTGTTTATTTCCTCTTATCTCCATGGGGAAGTGGAACAGAATTCTTCCTCCGTAAGCCATGTGTGTTGTAAGAGGCAACTAAAATGCCAGGAGCAAGGGGCTGATAACCCCTTCTGTACAAATTACTAAATTTAACTAACGCGACGGGCTGGAGTTTTGAGACTCTATGACCGCGGGTTCAATCCCGGCCGGGGGTATGGTTTACTAAATTTAAAAAGAAAAACTTTCGTTTTTCTTTTTGGGCCACCCCGCCTCGGTGGGATACGGCCGGTGTGTTGAAAGAAAGAGATATATAATATACATTCACTAAGACTCAGTGTATTGCTATTTTATTCAAAACTATATATTTAAAGTGTTCAACAATGTATTTAATTTTGGAAAATCATATTTTTATTCTACATCATTATATAACACATATCCATGAGCAGCCCGTCTGGATGGACAAACGAACTACGGCTTACAACCAAACCAGCTACAACTGCACCAGCAGATGCAAGATCTGCACCAGACAGTGTCAGTGATGCAACAACAGCAGCAGCCACAGGCAATTGGTCAGCAGCCTCTGGTGCCTTACCAACTACCTCCCACACTAGAGCAACTACATAACGGGGCCAATATGCAAGCTAATCTCCAAGGAACACAGGTTAGAACAGTTATGTCCTCATATAATGGCAAAACAATGTTGTATACTTATTTAGGCTATTAAAAAGAAAGAGGGGTAGGGATGTCGCAGTTCGTAGGGTTACTTGAATTGTGATGTCTTCGCAAGACAGATATTAAATGAAAAACAGGGAATGTATTTCCTTTTTTTTCTTTATCTTCAGCTGTTGATGGAAGACCGCCAGTGTGTTAAAAAATCTAACTTTATAGTTTATACATATTATTTACCAGGAGTTAATGGCGAAGATTTAACAAGAATTTCATTTTAAGATGGATATGGCGGGTGTTGGCAGCGGGCGGATAGCAGCCAACAATGAAGTAGCAAGCATGTTAGTCTCTAAAACCAGCCCCTCCACCTCCACCCTCATCGTCACACCACCTTCAGGTAAGTTCTCCTTCGTAACATTAACTACTTTTTATCCTACAATGTAACTGCAATACACAATAGGGTAGCAACACTATTATGTACCCACTTTTGTTTTAAGAATGCTTCTCCAGTGGGTCCTTTTACAACCCATTTTACTATTTTTCTTACGTTTGTGGACTTGACAAATGTAGGCCACCAAAAGCACCTGTTTACACTATGGCATTTTATAAATGTGAAACAATTATACACTACAATTAATAAAAGTCAAGTGTTCTCAGCTAGAACAAAGCAAAAGCAGTCTTGACAAAGAATATAAGTTGTAGAAACTGAAGATGAGTCCTGAAATATTATACTATCATAGCTAGTTAAAATAACCAACATCAGTTGAAAACTCCCATTGGATTATTGTCCAAAGACTAATAAAAGTCCCTGAGGTTCCTACAGGCACCTCAGTAATTATAAAAACCATGACATAGGTGTAAAGGGCTAAGCTGAGGGCAAACTGTTAAAATATGTTGCAAACATGTTTTTAACTTTCAAATATAAATAATAATTATCACAAAGACCCCAATGGAAATAAGTCACTTTGACTTTTTTTGGGTTATCCCAGGTTCTCTACACATATGCTGCTATGTATGATAATTAATGTATCTGTATACACCCCTCAAGGAAGGTTCCTTGATGTTGGTGAGGGGCTCTTGATTTAGGAAATTGGATCTGTGCTCCAGTTCCCCGAATTAAGCCTGAATGCCTTCCACATCCCCCCCAGGCGCTGTATAATCCTCCGGGTTTAGAGCTTCCCCTTGATTATTATAATAATAATAATAATAATAATAATAATAATAATAATATCTGTATACACAGATATGCATATCTAGATGTATACATACACTCATCTAGGTATATGTACATTTACATACATCAAGGTGCAATATACTCTGTGCAGTATGTACATATAATCTTATCTCTTACCCATGAAAGTGAAGCTGGTTACCCTTCAGTCGGGGTGACGCTTAACAACGGCAGCAACAGTAGCGTGGACGGGGAGGAGACTACAGCAATGGGTACATTGCATACCCACACACCCGTGCACGATGCCCATACTCCTGTGCATGCTGCCCAAACTCCCATGCACACTGCCCACAACCCCATCAATGCTGTGGCACATGCCTCCTTAGCACGCCTTGAGGTCAACCTGGAGGAGTTGGAGATGGAAGCCAGGGAACAGGACGCTCAGGCATCAGGGGCAGTACTGGCACTAGCCATGGGTATGTAATGGATAGGGCCAAGGAATGACACTAGCCATGAATGTGAGGGCCAGGACCAAGGAGTAGCTCTAGTCATGGTTATATGAGGGGTATTAAGGGATGGTACTACCAAACAGTATATGACTATGGGTGTTGGCTGAGGAAGAGTTAAGATGTTGAAGGAGTGTAGCTAAGTGATAATGGAGTGTCACGTGATGAGGGTGTGTCAGGTGAATATGGACTGCATCATGTGGGCAAGGCACTGAATACGGACAACCTTGGCCACAGTCATCATCATAGGCACTAGCCACTTAATATGGTCACATTTTTTTCGGCTGCTTGTTTTTTATAACATGTTTTAGACCTTATTACTGCAGATACTACTATCTAATTCTTGTAACTTGACCAAATCAAGCTAATTAACTCGTGGATTTCTCTCTCATTTATATTTTGATGCAAATATTTTCTGTGAAGTATCAACTTATGAATTATCTGGTTAATCTATTATTATTCATGGAAAGCACTAAACCCAAAGGGGTGAAACATCTGGGAATCCAGAGGTGATCAGGTTCAGTAAATCAAACCTATGTGCTAAACCCACAAGGGTCATACAAGGTGATCAGGTTCAGTCCAAGGAATAAGAGCATCAAGGCACACATCCTACCCTCTTCAAACAGGCTGTTTAAGCAAGGCTTAGTGCATTGTATTTTTTCCGTACATGTTATTATGCAGACCCATATTAGACATATGAGCTTTAATGGTAAATGTAGTATTGTAAATTTTACTAAGTCAATTACATTTGTTTGTTATCGTGTTAATTTGTATAATTATCATCATTTTATGCTTATAGTAATTTTTCATACCAGATTATATACATCGAGAGGCGTATATATACTGAGAGCTCACTTGAATATCTATTATAGGGATTAAAGTACGTATTCCTGATTGGTAGGGAACAGATTATATGCAGTTAAAATAACCCTTATGTAGTCGATAGGATTTAAGCCCCAGTAACCAACCAATCAAAATGTTAAAAAAATCACTTGACTGAAGTTTATTTACAGGAGTGTGCATTACTGCACTCTTGGTGGTGCTGGTAGGGTGTCGCCTTCGTGGGGTACGACGTAGACTACGTCGACACAGAGGCACCCGCTCTCCCTACGCTCACGATGCTGACTACCTCGTCAATGGCATGTACCTGTAGGCCATCACACCACCTCATCTGCAGAAGGCCGGCATATCCCCTCGCCTGCAGGAAGCTGACACACCCTCTCGCCTGCAGGAAGCCGGCACATCTCCTCGCCTGCAGGAGGCTGGCACATCCCCTTGCCTGCAAGAAGCCGGCACATCCCCTCGCCTGCAGAAGGCCGGCACATCCCTTCGCCTGCAGGAGGCCGGCACATCCCCTCGCCTGCAGGAGGCTGGCACATCCCCTCACCTGCAGTAGAGCCACACACACACACACACACACACACCAGCTTGTACAAGTCACCTGGGACAAGACACACCTGAGGACTTGGTATAAACTTACTCTGCTTCCAGAAAGCAGTCTTATATCAGCCTTGTGGAGGGTAGAATGTCAGCAACAACGAAAGAACATTTACAGAATAAAACGGTATACAGTATTTTTTATTAAAACACAAAATTAAATACAAAATCTTACGGGAAGAAAAAAAAGATTGATAGGGGAAAAAAAGCCTATGAACATAAAGCGTATTAACTAACCTGAAGTGCCCTTATTTGGGAACCAGTGGTAGGTGTGTCATAAGTATATAAAATTATACACATTGTAGGAGATATAAAGCTTCTACACGTAGTGCTGTATGGCTCTTATGGGTTTAGCATTTAGTTATGATTATAATAATAAAGCTTCTCCACAACACACGGAAGTCGCAAGAGAAACAGTAATAAATCCAAGTTATGGTTTATAGGCTGTTTTTACAGCCATTAAATCATTGCTGCTCTTATATATATTAAACAGACAATGAAAGGTTGTCTCATTACTTTGAGTATTGCCATTTTTAGATTGAACAATATCGCTTGAACAATATGGCAATACGTAATAAAATTACACATTCTTGCTTGTTTCTAGTTACAAATGCAAAATATGTTATTTACACACATGCATCTTTCAACAAACCGCTGTATCCCACCAAGACAACATACATACATCTTTTCTTTCTTTCAACAAATCAGCTGTGTCCCACGAAGCAGGGTGGCCCAAAAAGAAAAACAAACGTTCTCTTTTTAACCTTAGTAATGTATACAAGAGAAGGGGTTACAAGTCCCCACTCCTGGCATTTTAGTTGACTCTTACGACACGCATGGCTTACGGAGGAAGAATTCTGTTTCACTTCCCATGGAGATAAGAGGAAATAAACAAGAACAAGAACTAGTAAGAAAATAGAAGAAACCCAGAGGGTGTTGTGTATATATATGCTTGTACATCCAAGTGTATGTGACCTAAGTGCAAGTAGAAGTGGCAAATGTACCTGAAATCTTGCATGTTATTGAGAGATAAAAAAAAGACACAGCAATCCTACCATCAGTAAAACAATTACAGGTCTCCGTTTTACACTCACCTGGCAGGACGGAAGACCTACCCATGGTGGTTGCTGTCTATCAACCTACACATACAATAATATATATATATAATAATATATACAGTATACATGTATATATAATGTGCCGAATAGGTAAAACTTGCGATTTTGGCTTAAATGACAATGCTCTTCTTGCCGAATAAGGTAAGCGAAAATTTGTGGATGCAATAATTTCACAAAAATCATTCAGAACCTTACGAAAAAAATATATTCAATGTGTTTTGTTTCATATTAAATTATTGTAAACTTATCCAAAATATATTTAACAGTGGACCCCCGGTTAATGATATTTTTTTCATTCCAGAAGTATGTTCAGGTGCCGGTACTGACCGAATTTGTTCCCATAAGGAATATTGTGAAGTAGATCAGTCCATTTCAGACCCCCAAACATACACGTACAAACGCACTTACATAAATACACTTACATAAATTGGTCGCATTGGAGGTGATCGTTAAGCGGGGTCCACTGCAGTTGTATATTTGGCTAAATTAAATTGCGCTTGTTATAATAAGGTTATGTAAATTTTCAAAGGTTCTTTTAGTACAAAATTATTAATTTATACATTAATATAAATGAAAAATATATCTTTAAATGTATAAGAGAAAATTTTAGAAAGGACTTAATTTTAAACGAGTTCTTGCTAATTGACCACTTTTACCTATTCGGCACAACATATATACGTATGCATGTTATTTGTGACCTTATATAATGAAATTGACTTACAAGGTGATGAAATGTAAAAACTTAACAGTAGAATCTGGTGTTTACATATTTCTTGTTTAATATTTCTTCCGTATCTTTACCTTTTTTTTTTGTTTGGTACCAAGCAATAGTGAGAGAGAAGGCTAGAATTAGTTGATCATTTTGTTTTGTTCTGTGAAAATTAAAATTTGTAATAAAATTAAAGTGAAACTTGATAATTTAAGGGCACATTCTGGTTTCGTTTCCTTCAAGCATCCTCATCCTAAGTTCTGCTATGTGTTAAAAATAATGTGGGCCTTCCTATTGTTTGTTGGCAAAGGAACAATATGTGACTTGCTGGGCCAATCTGTCTATTATTTGAGGTACACTTATTAATAATGATTGCAGTTACCTTTCATTATTATTCATAAAAGGTACTAAACATTACTACATTTCAGCCTGTCATATAGTAAGCTATAGTTTAAAGTATCACAACACTGGCTATTAATTCTGAATTATATGCAAGTTATATAATTAACTAACAAGAAATAATCAAGCATATACTATACGTAAAGCTGAGTGAAATAAGTAATATGACTGGATTAATGTAGCTGCAGGTGGGAACAAAGCTAGATGCTAAACAATAGTGTGTGGACCTGAGTCACTGAGATGCAAGTAATAGTGGGTACATGGAGGGATTACAAAACTTGACCCTAAACATTGGTGTGTGGGACCTGCATTACTGCTGCTGTAGGTGATGGTGGTACACTGACCTTCAGAACAGATGATGGGATTACAAGACTAGATGCTGGTCATTGGTGTGTGGGACCAAGATACAAGAGTGTGTAAGTAAAAGTCAATCTCCTGGGTTGAGACAGGATCATAATCCTTGTTATAACCTTCGGTAGGATGATAATCCTGCTTCACTATTGATGATGAAGCTGAAGGAAAGTGCCTTCATGCCGGTGAGGGATTCTTGATCTAAGGAAATGGACCTGTTCTTTCTTTGGATCAAACCTGACTACCCTCCATTCTCCAGGCGCTGTATGACCCCTATGGATTTAATTTTCCCCACTCCTCAATAAATGTAGTAATAATACTGGTGATATGGGTGTTTATATGTGACGAATAACTGGGTTGCACATAGTGTAAAATAGTATCTTCCAGATGGCTAAGGTCGGAAGTGATGTGCAGGTCACATTACCTTGACTGGGAAGATTTAGATAACTCATAGCATGCACCGCCACACTTCGCAGACTAACAAGTGCAATTTGTTTGAGCTAGCAACATAATATATTCATAATTTCTGTGAGCTACAATGTACTTACAGTGTTGTGTGTATAATGCGCCTTGGAGAGTGGATGACCTCTGTGATACTGGTCACTACAATCCCACTTATTCCCCATTTACAGCATGTTGTCTAGGCTTCTCAGTGGAGTCTCGAGCCTTGCTGTATATCTTTTGGTGCAGTTGTGCGTATATTTAGTTGGTAAGGAAGTAGCTTTCGTTTGATGTTTGATGGGGAAATATGAATGTAACACCATCTGATGTGAGAGAAAGCACTGAATTATGCTCATGCATTATGATTATTATTATTATGTGCAATAGTTTACGATCGTTAATTGGTCGATTTCAGTCTTAGTTTGAATTGTAAAGTATTTAGTTGATTTTCAGTTAAGATGGTATTTTGAGTGCAAATGGTAAAAAAAGGAACCAAACTTAATGAAAGCCAAGCTTAACCTAAAATAAGATATGGTAACCACTGTCATGGTACCATTGCAACTTTGCTTACATTGGGCTGACACGACAAAACTCATAACTAATATTATGTTGACTGCCTCAAACCTGATGCCCAACCAAGATTTATGTACAGCAAGTCCTCAGTTAAGGTCATTCCTTTCAACAGGGTATGTTACAACAATGAGAAAAAAATTTATTCCCAGCTGGGCCACTGTTTGTGTGGAGTTTGCACATTCTTTCCCCTTGTCTACGTGGGTTTTCTTCGAGTACTCTGGTTTCCTCCTACATCCCAAAGATGTGCACATTAGGTTAATTGGCATGTTTACATTGTCCCAGTATGAGTGAGTGTGCCCTCCCATATTTGTTAATGCTTGTTTTTTGAAATGCATGGTGGTAGTAAGTACTCCTTACAATTTTTGCTTTGCAGCCATTTATTTCTTGATTTAACCCTGTTGCAAGGAGTGGTAAAGGTGCACTGTGTACCCTTGATGCTTACATCAATTAGCCTATGGTAAAATTGGTTTTCTTATACGTCATTTCACTTAAAGTCGCAGTTTCCAAGACCCTATCAACGTCATTAAATGAGGACTTACTGTTGTTAGCTGCTATCTTCCCAATTAACAATTTGCACATTAAATATTTAATCCACGATGTACATAGGATAAATGAATTGTAAATTGTTAATACCCAAGTTCTGCTGAGTAGTAGACCATTAACAATTATTATTATGTTATCTAGTAGTATAACACAACTTCTTCTTCTGCTATTATGTTTTAATCTTGATTCTGTATAAGGATAAATTTATCCAGAGTTTGCCATTCATCCACTTAATCTGAAAAGTATAATAAAATTCAATCCAGGCATTATAAATATCCTTTAACTATTAAATAACAAATGCATAGTATAATTATAGATTCCTGTAAAAAAAAAGTAGTAGATTAGTGATTGATAGCTATTTTTGCTTCACTTTATAGGTTATTCATTAAAAGCTAATCTATCTTAAAGTTATATCGACATGGTAAAATGTAGCATGAAACATGCTACAGTAAAATGAACAAAAAGAGATATCTATTGAGTTTAGAGGGCTCATAGTGTTTGGTGAAAATGTTTAATTGAAATTATGAAAATACCGATTGGTTTGTGTAATGGAGATAGCCTTAATTCGTGCATATTGGAAAGAAGTGTATTTATGAGTCAATTTTGATTCAAGGATTAGGCTTTTTTTAATACATTATACATGTAATATAACTTAACCTAAGTAACCCAAACAAAACAAAAAGTAATCCAATCTTAACAAATAAAACTCAGCTATTAATTAATTATTGATCATTCATACTTGTTTTTACTTTTCTTACAGTGCATGTTTACCATATCCACTGATGTCAGTGAATTATGACACAAAATATCAATTATAAGCATGTATTACACTCAGGAGACATTACTTGGATGTTGGTACAGTAGTATTAAAACTGTTCACCTGTCTGGATGGGCTAACAGGTTGCTAATATTTCTGCCCCCCTTCCCCCCCTCCATATAAAAATGAAAATAAAGGGTTAATTCACTAGAGCCCCTAAACTCAATATTTGCCCACAAAGCTAGTACTGTATAAAGAAGGTGCAGGTTAGGTTTAGTCATTTCAGTTTAATTCTTAGTAATTGCAAAGATTTTAATGTCTACCTGTGCTTTTCCTGACTGGTTTTGAGGGCTCTTCTACCCCACAGCCTGGGCATAAGGCCATGCTTCCCTGTTGTTTGCCTGGTCAACCAGGCTGTTTGTGCTAATGGCTCATAGACCCATACATGTGTATCTATGACATCCTGGCTGACTGCTAGGACTGTTAAGCATTTTAGACTCCTAGAATTATTAAGGCCTTCACTTAGGATCATTAAGCCTAACAACTGAAATGATCATTAATTACACAA